TACAAAAATTTGAGGAGCCATTAAATCAACTATAGTTGGGTATACTTTATTTCCTAACAAGATATACTACGAATTTACAAAACAGAAACCTACCTTATCGATAAAATGTAGTTTTCTTGGTTATATCTTTCAAAAAAGTAGAATACAAAAGTGCAAAAATGTAATTTACGCCATATAAGTGGACAAGTGTTCAGCAAATAGCACCTTAAACTGTTATTCTATCGACAGTCTTAAACAACTGCTCATATACTTCAAAATGTTCTGTGTATACAAGCGTAATAAATATCGTGGCGAACACTAGTTTTGTTCCATTTCATAACTATTTCAGCACTAAGGCTCACAAATTTTTTGCATCAGAAGAGAAAACATAAAGCGAGCAGCTGAGCTTCTTTTAAGGATGAATGAATGTTTGTCAATCCTACTTCCAGACATCATCCCAACCTATCACTCTCAGCGGCAATAGTAGTTATATTGTCTTAGATTGTACACACATACAAAAAACAGCTCAAGGTCGTTGGCTTGTAATTTCATCGAGTTTCCCACGATGCGACGTATACACAGTGCAATAAAATCAAGCTTGCGATCAGATGTACCGGAGATACCGCGAGCTCGTCTAATGCGGGGATCACGATCGGAGGTGAGAAGTGCGCCATTAGAATGTGAACGTGTGTATACGTGCACCGAGAGGGTAATAGTTGACGCAACTTTTCGAGAAATTTCGTGATTCACCACGTATTTTTTTGTATAATATTATATAGACTATCGATTGATGCAATTGATTTTGTATGGATTACATAAACGTGCAGTATATCCTTAAAATCTTTGGATTTGGAAATTCATGCAAAGTGACAACAGTGATTGTTTGATCAAAATAAAATAAATTTTAAAAGGGAAAGAAATAAGAAAACGTATACAGTGAAAAATAGTGTTGTAATTTTTTATTTACAACATGCGTTATCATGTTAAACAATGTATTGTAAAATGTGTACGAAAATCATGTCAATACTTTTACGCTGAAATCAAGTTGATACCGGAAAGTTAAATTAAGATTTTTATTTAATGAATAATTTACGATAATATTTTTTTACGGTACTTGACACACAATATCACACTTTTAAAAGATAAGATTATTATCATGAGTAAAAAAAGTTCATAATAATTTTTTTTTTTTTAACTTTTTTGATGTACCGTCTATGCAGTTATATGTACTATACCTGTTAATGTGAATTTATTTTGTCATTGGTTTTAGAAAAAATAGGCTCCGATTTTTTTGAGCGACATCTTATAAAATATTTCATTTTAGATGCCTCTTGGGTCATCGAGCTACAATTGGAATACGCATAAAACAACATAATTTATTATTTTAAAGTTAAGAACTAGTAAATAAAAACCAAAACTCAAACTCAGCTTGTACCCGGTTTCTTTATTTTAATAAAACAATTGTATATTGAGAGAAAAAAATAGTAAAAATTATAGAGAAATTCAAGCAAAAATTACCATTCCAACCAGTAAATCGGATGCAAGCTGGCAGAAAAGGAAAAAATAATTATTTTCAACCGTAATAATTATTGTTTCGACATTAAAAATTGTAGTTTAAATAGTTAGAATCGAAGTTAGAATTATGGTTAGAACAGAAAAAATTACCATGCTGGAACAGTAAACTTTCAAAAGATCGGTTGATGAAATTTTACTTTCCCGCATGGAAATTTTCACTGTTCCAACCACAATCTTTACTTTTTGAACCATCATGTTAACTGTTAAAACAATAATTTTTACTGTTAAAAGTAATAACTTTTTCCTTTTTTGCGAGCTTGCATTCGATTTACTGAGTGGAATGGTAGTTTTTGCGGGAATTTCTCTACAATTTCTATTATTTTCTTCTCTCAGTATAATAATCGCAAATATGGTTTCACTCAAAACTAATTAACGGTAAGTCCTTTTTCAGAAGTACATCAAAAAGGGTATTTGCTTAAAATACAAAAGAGAAAATACTTTTTTTTCGTCCATACAAGAAGAAAATAAAAGCTCCCCACTGAAATCTGTTAACAAGAAAAGCACATGCATTATCATAAGTCCCCGCGCAGTCAATGAACCAATGGCTACAATCTCTAACCTCATGTGTGTGTCCCTATGGGTGTCATAAATCGGTTTTCTCCGTTGGTCAGTTCTCCCCTTCACTCTAGCCCTGGTGTTTAAAAAACGAACATTTCGCCATTGCAGGACCAATTAAATTAGAACAACCACACGGTAAATCTTGGAGCTGTGCGGGGACATACACACACGTAGATGCGAGCGTAGATGGATTCGCGAGGGTTTGCAATCCATCGCCGATGAAATTTAGATCAGAGAGACCTATGGATGTTTTACATGGATCGAGTGCGCGCGTGTGTGTCTATTCCCTTCCTTTTCGTGTACCTGTGCGTTTACACCGTGTTTGTCGATATAGTCGTTGTTGCGTAACAACACCGAGAATCGCATTGTCTAGTTAAGGTGAATTATTAGTTTTGTTTGTTTTTCCCGCTACAAGTTGGTTTTCACCACATTCGTTTTTCGATAATTTATGCTAGGTAAAGTAAGATTGTCGAAGCGAGTCGGTAAACGGAGCAAAGACAATTTGCTCTCTGAAAACAACCCCGAGGACAATCGATCGATCGTGTTTTTTTTTTTGCGAAACAACGTTCACGCTGCTGCGAGGACTGTAATTTTGATGAGATCTCTGGATACAGTTACATGAGTGTGTGGTTGGACCAAAACGTTTTGTTCACATCCGACTACTTTCGTTTTTGAAGGTAAGTTCAACGTTAAGATTTCAAATGATTGTTTGAAGTTAGGTATTGTAAGACAAAAAATTTTTGAGATTTATGTAATTCTGATGTTTCTAAAAGCATCAAAGTGTGCCCTTGAAAATTAATTTAGAGCATATTCTGTATGGATTCACCAAATGAGATCAAATTTTTATGACGTGTTTTATACATTTTTAGAAATTGAATGAAACTATATCACATGGAGAGGAAGCAGGTATTGTAATATTAGATTCATTCAAGCTGAGATTTGTTTAAAAAACCTTATAATAAGGCAACTAATTAAGAAAATATTGCGCTTCTGAAAACCAACTTTTTAACCTATAATAGTTATATAACCTATAATAAAAAGTTGTACGAGACCAAAAACCATCAACTCGTTACGATACATCCAATTGTAAAAATTAGAGTTTTTGAGTTTGGTAAAAGTCTAAGGTAGTTCATGACACTCAGTGTTTTTCAATCTACGTGAACAAACGATCGTAAGAAAATGTTTAAAGTTATCAACAAAAACAGGTGTTTTTGAATTACTTGCTAATAGATGTAGTGTTAAAACATGTAAATTAAAAGCCGAATACCTCGAAAACGGCACGCCAAATTAGCATAAAAATCATTAGATAAGTAACTAAATAATTTTTTCCTATACGGTAGAAAGTAAAAATCATCAACTTCGTAAACAATTTTTCAAAATAAAGTTCGTCGTATACCCCATGCGAAAAAATGACGGAAAACAAAAGTGACGCAACGAAAGCGTGCATGAAAAACACAGTCAAGCGACCACCATGCTCCCTTTAACTGCTATCTCTTTTTTTTACGATCGCACCCGAGAAAAGCTTCCAAACGTAACGGAGCATCAGCAGCGAGGTAAATTTTATAACACGCAAGTTTTCCTTTCGCGGCTTTACGATTCCGGCCGCCTCGAGTGGAATAATGGTTTTTATGACTCTTTAAAAAAAAGCACCCCTCCCCCCCACAACCCATCGTTTTGTTTGTCAAAGCTCTTTTTTTTTTTTCCGAGTCCACGATCGGAGTATCGATGAGAAAGATCATATTCTTCGAAAGGAAGGCAACGGATTTACGGCAGAGCTGACGCGAAATATTTTTATCGCCCGTTTAGTTTTTCCAAAGCGTAAATTTCCACGCGACATGATCTTGACGGTCAATATTACTTCGTGAGGAGGGAGGGGGGGGGGGGGCAAAAAATTGTTCCACAAAAACAAACATCGCACGCATACACCGAAACACAGAGTTTGAAATCGGACTTTATTTTTCTGGGCAGGCAAATCCGTAGCTATGAAAAAATAAAATAAAACAACAGGAGGGGGGAGTGGCGCGAAAATTTCGCAAAAAGCCGAGCGGATGTGGAAAAATAAAAAGCGTGGGGCGCGCCCGGAATATCAAGCAAGCTTGAAACAAGAGGAGAGTAATCCAACAAATGACGGACGGACGGGCCGTCAATTTCGCAGCTTCTCTCTCTCTCTCTCTCTCTCTCTTTTTCTCTCGGTGGTCCGAATCAGCTTCCGTAGACGCGATGTACAGCTCGAAAACAACGCATTGCTACCGTGAAGTGAGTTATAGGGGCGAGCTGTGTGTGGAGGGAAAAATTTGACATTTAAAAAACATTGGGGCACGCGTACGGGCTGGAATGGTGAATCTATTTTCAAAAAGAGAAGGGTCCACTGCTGCAGCGAACTGATGTTTTATATTCAATGGCCATGGGAAGAAGGAGGAAGAGGAGATGGTAGGGTCCATGAGATTGGAAGAGTATATATTGAGGGGAATGCAGGAAAAATTAATTTACCATGCACTGGAGATACTTGGGTGGTGTTTGTATTCTTTATCGATATTGAGGTTTTTTGTAATATTGAGAACCTCGAAAGTCTTGAATTGAAATTATTTGCTGAAATGCGATGCTTATAGGATTACGTCTACCTAAGAAAGTGTTATTCATTCCGTGGAAAATTTTAATAGTCGAAGTAAACATGTTGTATACTATAATTGTGGAATCTTAGTAAAATTTTTTTTTTTAATGACTTACACTGCTACTTTTGATAGATTTTTTTGGAGGTTAGTTTTTTCATATTGAGATGAAAATTTGGTAAACTCGGAAAATTAATTTAAAAAAAATATGTCGTGTGAGGGTTATATTTAATTGTTTGTAATTTTTATGAGTTTTTAAATAAACAAATACTACAACAGTTTCAAGTTAGTCGTTTTAAAATTTTTTTTGTATCATTTCAAATTTATTTAGAGAAAAAAATAAAAATTACTACAGTAATAAAAAGTCACTAAACGACCAAACAGTACCAAATTACCATTCTAGCACAAATTTTTTATTTTTTTTTTTCCAGTGTAAGTGTCTATAAAAAACTATTTTCTTAACAGTCTACATTTATTAAACAGCTATAATATCACATTCAACTTTTAAAGACGTTACATATTTCTTAATGATTAATAATTTATTCTCAACTACCATTTTTATACAACTTCATGTAACACAATAACCTTGCACTAGCGCGAAAAAATATCTACGATTCCATTGGCGTACACACGAAGCACAACACCATTTGGTTCATCGGACGGTTCGCCGCTCGATTGTGATTATTACCATCCCCATTGTCGACCCTCGACCACTGTTGTCCACGATCCACAAATTGGTTCTGTAATCCTCCCGCGCTTCCGAATCCAGGACCACCCGAGCGAGAGATTTGCGGATTTTCGTACACGTCATTTAGGCCACCTATCGGTTGACTGTACTTTAACGGCATCTCGTTATCATTTTCATTCATAGACCGTCTCTTTCTCTCGAAACTGCCTGCTAATTTAGCGATGAAAAATCTACTTTTTGCATTCAATCTTTTATTTACTGGTATCTAAGCACAGAGAAAAAAAAGTTTTTTTTTGCTACACCTTTTAAAAATTACTTTCAATAAAAAAAAAACCTCAAGTTTTTGAAAGACTGTAAGTAAGCATTAAAAATTTTTTCGTAGCTTTATATGACTTTCAAAATTTTGAAAGACCAGGAGTTTTTTGTTACTATGTACAAGCATCTCGAATTTTTAGTTACCTCAGCGCAATCCAAAGTTACAAGCACTAACGAAACGACGAATAAAGAACAAAGCACCAACCACGTTCTCGTCATGTCTGCTTTGCGCGAAACAAGAAGACACTAATGGATCTGGAGCGACTTTATGTACATTAAAACTTTTTTCAATTTCGTAATCGTATGTCCGACAAGCAAAACATCAGATAACTGTACATGCTTTATTTACGTGAACTGTCGAACTCTCTCATATTTTTACAAAGATATCGAATTACGCATGCAACTTTTTTCTTCTCTCGCAGCGAATCAAAACCACAACTCGCTCGCATGTGAATTTATCAGAATCTCAACGACCAGCTGCAATTTGAGTTACAAAACGTGAACACGCAGTGTCACTTTCTCTCGAGCTCCCGTGCGTCCCATCGTTTTTATTCATGCGATAAACAACAGCTACCCTTGACACTTCAAGTCCTCATTCGGCTTCAATTAATACCCCATACAATAACACTTTATGGTCGCGAACTCGTTAATTGCACGGTTTCACGGCAAGGGGAAGGGAAGCCACAGTTGCCTCATCCGTTTTTAGAATTCACGCGTATAATGCACCGGCTCTTGTGCGTGCGTTTTCCCCTCGGTTTTCCCTACGCTCGCGCGCGTCGCGACGGTAATTACGCGATCGCTAGCGTTGCGCACTTGGTATTGACGCGCCTAAGTGTGCGCGAGAGTGCTCGGTTTTATCGCGAAAGAAAGCAGAGCGAGTCACTTTTTTTTCATGACTCGTTTTTCTTTTTTCAGTGCTAATATGCGGAAACGACGGGAGAATGGGCGCTTTTCTTATTCGGCTTTTCGATTTGATTGACGTGGGAAAATATAGAGGGTGTACAGCGATGATCTTAATCTCGAACACAATAGTGCGGGGAGCAACGTGAAACTAAACGACGGCAAACAATATTTCCATACGAATGGGAGAGTCATGAATTTTTTTTTTTTTTTTTTTTTTCAACTCCATTTCCATTCCCATACCAAAGGAGACTCTTGAAAGTCTAATGAAAATCAACGAGGCGTGCCGACGGNATCTAATTTTTTTACATTCATTGCAATGTCCAAAAAAACAAGTCATTTTATGGCACGAAAAAAATACAGTCTTGCACGTTGCATGAGATTATATTTTTTTATCGGTAAAATGTATCGACCACACAAAATACACCATTTCATCACGGAAAAGTACAACCGAACCACCACACCACCGCTACTATACCGCATGATGCAGTGGTGCAGTCAACATTACGGTGCACTGGGTTATAACGAAGGATTTCACCATATATAAATATATATATATATCAGTACGTCGACTGTACTTTTATGAACTGCACGTAATGTATTTTTGTAGAGTTTTTAGTTTCAAGTATCGTCAATACACCATTATTACTTTAAACGAGACATATTATGTGACATTGGTTCGAATTGCACACAAATATTCAATGCACACACACGAAGTGATAAATGGCAATGTTTATAAGAAGGAAAAAATTGTTACATGTGAAAACTAACTGCGGCAGTATTGAGACACTCATGGTTAGCACAATTTTTGCTCCAAATTTTAGTCATTTTTGACGTACTGTAGCGAAAATTCATGTATTCATCTCTCTACCCTTTATGACATTCTTTTTGCTATTATTTATTTTACCTTCCTTGATTTCTTGTCTCATAAGTCTTGATATCACTCAATCTCCTACTTTTCCATTCCTCCATTAACTACTCACTTTGTCGGCTTTTTATATATTATTCCCCTTAGTTCTTCCCAAAGGCAAACATACGACCAACTGTTTTGTGTATTTTTAAAACTTGTCAAAAGTATTACCTGCTCTTATTTTAATGCTGCTGTAGCATAATTTTTGTAGAGCAGAGCCCTGTATACTTTTTATTACAATTTTTATCTCAACTGTATACTTTCAGTTTTTTTTTCACAAATTGTACTGATTATCACACCTTGTACGTCAGGTAGCTGCCCTTTTTTTTTTAAAAACCATTCTCAGAGATATTTGTATTGATTTTTTTTGTTTAGGATAATCCACCTTCTTTTGGAACGCTCCTTTTTTCCTTTTCTATTTGTTAACATCAGGATTAGGGTTTTAACCAACAAAAGTGTTATAAACTTAGAATTCTCCATTTATTTTTTGTACAATTTTTTCTTCGTAGTTCTATTAGACTACGTTTATAAAATCTTAAAAGTGATTAAGCAAAATGACGTTGCACTATTTTTTTTTTGAAAAATTTTAGTTTAATTTCATAACAATGACAATCCAAGAATTGATCATCAAGTACAAAATTTTATTTTGCCAGTGAGATTGAAAATAATAATTTTCCGACAATTATTAATGATAAAAAAATAAAAAATTTTAAATTAATATTTCAAAACATTCAACTCTCGAATTTCGACTGTTTAGTCTCCCCCAAAAAAATATTTCATCGAAATATAATGAGCGAGTATCTGGTTACTGTCCAATCCATGTTAAATGATAGGTAAAAATGTGTAAAAAGTGTGGACTACTTCCGTTATTTTCCCTATTTTCTACGTCAGTTCATAATCTTACAATAATGTTTGTATTAGCAGCTCCAATAAAATACGATGCGCTAATAAAGAAATCAAAGACCCTCGTACGAAAGTTTGATTCTTTAACAAAAATTACGAGACATGAAAAAAAAAGAAAGGGAAGGAGGGGAGAGAAAGGCAAAGCGAAGTAACGATTGAGTTGAGAACCGCTTCAACAATACCTCATTGGATCTGATACACATGACGGGGAACGCGTTTTGCGTTAACTCTCCTCCTCCCGACCTCTTTTTTGAATCCGGGAGCTTTTGTCGTCCGCATGGGGTATATGTTACAAGTACTTATACCTGACTTTCCGCAACGCTGCTCGAAATCAGCATAATAAGGTTGTGATTGTTTTGTAATGGGCAGCTCGTGATTAAAGGACTATTTGGGGACTAGCTCTGGCGTTTCCGAACATTATTTTCATCCGCAACATTACTGATTGAAGAACGATATTCAAAGGTTTTTTTTTCAAGTTCTTACCTTAAATGACGTGCAGTTAATGCGTGACCTATTAGATTGTTTCTTATTTTATGAGCGTTTTTTTGCAATATTTTCAAAGAAAAAGTTTTACCCACAAATACCCTTTCACATCGGTGTTGTATTAACTATAATCGTTATGAGAAAAGAAACTTTAAATAATGTGTATATGAAAGTAAATGACAACTTTTTGCAATTTTTTCTAGTATACTATGCTTTAGTGCTTGTTCGTGCTACATTTTCATTACTTACGTAAAAAAAGTTCTTAATTACTTTTCGATTTTGCTTGGTTTTAAAATTTTTTATTCAACAATTCACCGTACAAAATTTTTTACGTTGGCAGTATTAGCTTTGCGGGAGAAAAAAAAAAAAAAAAAAAATCAAAAATACACAAAATATATATACTTTTATAAGAGAGGGAATCCGGATCTCCAACGTACATCCTCAAAGCAAAGTGCAGCGCCTTGAGCCCTTCCTTTTTCAACCCAAACCAATCCGTTTATCGGCCTCGACAGAACCACCTATAAGCCGACTTACTTATGTACTTTAACTATTAAAGTAGCGGCAAAATTATCTGTAAAGCCGAACGAGCAACTTGGACATCTTTTTATAAAAATATATTACCACCTTCTATGTTTACATTCATGCAGGTAAATATAGTATTCACCTGTCGGTATAAGCATTAGATAAAGTATTGAAAAGAAAAAAAAAAAAAAAACTAAAATCAATAATCATAAAAATGAATGCAATAACCTCCCTCGAACAGCGTTAAAATCTGCATAAGGCTATAACCGCAGCCTCGTGAAAATACCTTTTTCCTTTTACGATTTTTCGCCCTCTTCTCTCCTCATACTTTTCACTTTTTCTCCCCCCCCCCTCCCTCTTCTCCTAAACCTCGAACTCCTCGCAGTAACAAATTCCCATAGCAACGTACATACAGAGCAAAAAGCGACTTTGGTCCCGGCGCATCATCATCGATGCGTTTGTTCTTAAATCTCTCGCTGAAACTTGAAAGCTGTTTGTTCGTTCGAGCGCGAGCAATGCGATCTATACGTGAAATTATTCAATGAGCTGGTTTTTCGCGCGCCCCATTATTGATTTCATTTTTATTTCACACGCAGTTATTATTTATTAGCTGAAACTTTTTTTTACAGTACAACCAAAATTTGTGTACGATCTGTAATAAAAAAAAATTACAGTTTGTACATCATAGCGCATATTTTGCATGGGCCATACATATTACTCGTAAGGATGTCTAGTGAATGTAATCTACAATTTTTTTATTTGACATAAACACACAGTTCTTCTTATTAAACTTTACCTAAAACTTCAAAAACGTACATTTTCGTAGCATCTAATTTTTTTACATTCATTGCAATGTCCAAAAAAACAAGTCATTTTATGGCACGAAAAAAATACAGTCTTGCACGTTGCATGAGATTATATTTTTTTATCGGTAAAATGTATCGACCACACAAAATACACCATTTCATCACGGAAAAGTACAACCGAACCACCACACCACCGCTACTATACCGCATGATGCAGTGGTGCAGTCAACATTACGGTGCACTGGGTTATAACGAAGGATTTCACCCCTCCAAAATACAAACACACTCACACTACTCCACCGGGAGGGAGAATTGCGTGAAAATGAGTAGTAATTGTTTGAGGGCACGTGCAGCGGCGGTCGACCGCTACGGTGGGTTGTTTCGGGGGGCGTCGCGTGGCAGCTCCATTGCTCTTTCGACTCGCGTTTTTGATTGTAAGATATACGTTTGCTTTCCTTTCTTCCACTGTTGCAGGTATACATACTAATCTATAACGATTCTATTCGGGTTTCTCGGGCACGAATACTTGAAGTGAAAACGAGCACTGGATTTATGGCGCTAAGCCGATTTTGTTTTTGCGCAACAGCTCGTACAAGGTTTTTAGTAAATACACGCCTGAGATTTATTTGGATGTTAAACGCGAGCATTTGAGTTTGAGAAAAAAATCGGTGCACCGATGCACGCGATTTTTTATTTTTATTTTGTGGAGTATCGGGGATAACAACTATAAAAGTGTCGTTTTTAGCCCACAATGATTGATCGTAGGATAT